TTTTGAGAGTACTTGATTAATAAAAACTGTTGTATTTTGTGATTGACAGGAATGAGGTGTATGATTTTGGTTGATGCTCTCCACGATATTAGCATTTGCATTTGCATTTGCATAGCAAGAATAAGATAGAAGCTGGTTATGGTTGATGCTATCCATGGTTTCTTGAGTTTCTTAATAGGTAGTAGGTGCATGCTATTATGTCGTCGTTCTATGGAGTTAGAAAATGCTTTGTGAAGGAAAGAAATTACTCTACTAAATTGATGATTTCCTAGTTCACCAAGTATGGTATTAAGATACATTTTCACTTGATCTATTTGCTGTTGAAGTTGATTAGGATGAACATTATTTTGACTAGGTTGAGGCTGAAAGCTATTTCTATTATTTTGAAAATGGTTTTGATCATGAATAAGTTGATTAGGTTGAGAAGAATCATTATTATTCTGTTGAATGCTTTGAATATGCTGGGGATTATTATTTAGTAATTGATTAGATTGTAGAAAATCATTAAATTGATTGGATTGAGGCAGTTGAAGATTATTAGGTTGAAGGCAAAAATTATTATTTTGAATATGGTATCGAACAAGTTGAGAGTGATCAAAAATAATTTGATTGAATTGAATGTGTTGAATAGGCTGAGGATTATTATTTGGAATACGATTGACTGGTTGATTAGGTTGTGAAGATCATAAAATTCAGGCTGTTGAAGATTATTAGGTTGAGGGCAGAAATTATTATTTTGAATATGGTGTTGAATAAGTTGAGAGTGATCAAAATTAATTTATTGGGTTGAATATTATTAGCCAGAGTATATGATTTTGAAGGTGCACTTATTATTATCCCGTTTCTGAATATTATTATGAGTCACTTCGCTTCTTGGTGATTTAGTCTATTGGCTTGACACGCTTGATTTTGATGATGTTTTACGTCCAGACTTGATTCTTCAATCTCAGTAATTTGATTGCTCATAGAAGTTAGCATTACATGTGCATACAAACAATAACCTTGACATACAATACACTCTTTAGAATACTGATGAGGTTTATGTGGTATTTTTTTTTTAGACAGAATAAAATTTGGTGATTTTTATCTGGAAAAATGTAGGATGTTGAAATCTTATATAAAATTTTAACGGGTAATTTCTTCTAAAGAAATGTTTTTCAATAAACATACTATGTATGACAAAAATGTAAAATTAACTCTTTTAAAGTCAGTTGATAAACTTTAAAGAAATAACAAATCTAATGCATATAATAAACTTTCTGACTTCAGAATCGTGTAATATCAATCTCTAAAAAATATCTGTGTGAAATTTACTTTGTTAAGATATTGCAAAACTTCAAAAGGGGAGGATGAACTGCATAAGGGGTCAGTTAATAGACATAATAGTTTGACATATTTTTATGTAAAATAATCGCATGTTTCGTATAGCTTTTTTGTACTTCTGTTGTGGAAAATCGTGTGAAATTCTATTTTGTTTGTGTGATGCACTAAAAAAAGATCGAAAATTTGAACTGTCCATAGGGTTATAGCAATTAAATAAGAGATTATCTTTTTCAAATTATACAATATTCATATCAATGAATTTTTGTATATGAAAACTTACAAATTCTATTGCCATGTTTTTAAGCCAAATTTGGCACCAATATAAAAACCACTCTAATTTTAAGTTCATAGAAATTATATGATTTTTATAAAATTTACTTTATTGATACCAGTTTTTAAAAGATCTCGATTTCAAGAATGAAAACCAGATTACATGCGTTATGCGTATATAAAGATAATAGATAATAGCTGACAATATATTTTATTATTATTTCAAAAAATAAAGCTCAGTTACTTGAACAATTGATTGCATCAACCAATCAGATAAATGGTGCTAATTTGACGTGTTATTGTATAAGGTATGAATTTTATTTGTGATTGGCTAATTACGCGGAGTGCATCTCGTGATTGTTCAGATTCTTGTACGAAGTATAGCTTAGGATATTATATTCTAGGCACTTCAATAATAAATCAATAAACATCCTAATTTCGATAATGTCGTATGAAATTTTACTTCATTAAAGTGCTGCACAAACTTCAAAAAGAGGAGGAGTCAGCCAAAAGACTTGATAGTTTTCCAAAATCCCATGCAAGATAAACCTTTTAGACTTTAGTCTATAGAGGTTGTAGCAATTGATTACTGTCGTTTAACCAATTACGTGTAATTTAGTATTTATAATTATGGCTCAGTTGTTAAGATAACATATTATTTATAGTAACTGACTAGCATTTATTTTGTTTGCATGCTGCATTGAATTCACGTGAAATTTTTACTTCTCTTGGTTGTTGCACAAAATTCAAAAAATAAGATCTATTAAAAGAAGAGGAATTCGATGGATGAACTGCATAAGAGGTCAATTAATAGACTTGTAGTTTGACAAAATCGTGTGTAATATGAACTTTTCTGGCTTCAGAATCGCATGCTTAGTTGTTTACATAATGTTTCGAAAAGATCAAATTTTGAACTGTCTATAGGGGTCATGGAATTACCTAAGTGATTATCTCTTCTAAATTATGCAATGTCGATATCAAATAAATTTTTATATAATATGAACTGGTTTTAAAGCAGCTCTTATTGTAATTCTGATATTATAAAAATTTTGAATTCTATTGCTATATATTTAAGCCAAATTTGGTACTAGTATAAAAGCTACTCTAATTTTAAGTTAAATTATTTAATATACTGTATAATGATACGTAGAAATTACATGATTTTCATAAAATTTACTTTATCGATACATATATATAAACCAGTTTTTAAAAGAATAAAAACCAGATTATATGCATTATATGTATTTTTAGAATGATAATACCCGGTACTGTAGTATATAGCCTAACAACTTACATGTAATTTTAATATCTATAAATCACAATTCAATTGTACGTAGTCAACTTATTATTTATCAGTAACATATTATTTCAGTATTAAATCTAAAAAGCATGTTTTAATACAAACCTGGTATTAATATAAAAGTACTTTAATTAAAATTTAGTTCATTTTACATGTTAAACACATTTTAATATAGTTAACATATTTTTTATTAGTAAAATATGTAAAACATTACGTTCTCAAAAAGTATATTAAACTATATAAATTAGTTACCCAGACAATCGATTTGAATTAGCAGACGAATATTTACCTATAAACAATTGCATATAAACAATCATAAAACTTTTTGATAAATTATGTATAATAAATTTCTGTAATCATTATTGGTTGTTGAGCTTATTATTTAGCAATATAAAAACATATCATGACCTGATAATATATTTTAAGATTAATAATCTCAAAACCTGGTTTAAACCAAATCTGGTATTAATATAAAAAATACTGTATTCAGTATATTTGTATAATTTTGCTCTACACATTTTAATTTAAAATATGTAGTTTATATAAATAATATATAGCATTATGTGATTTTGGAATATCATGAATATGAAAATATTATACCTATATATATCAAAATAAGTATATGCACTCTATAAAATACAATTGAGCAATATTCGTATCTTTTTTTTTGCAATTAGTAATAATCACATGGTTATTTATCTTTTAATTATTACTTTAGCATTGTGATATATAGCATATATAAATAATTATTATGTGATTTATCTAGTAATTGCGAATAGGCTTTACCTGTCAGTATATCTGACAAAATTTGAAAATGATATATATGATGACCAATATCCCACCTCATTAATTCAAAAAATTAAAAGTCAACAATGTTTGCATTGCTGCGTTTATCTAGTTTTAGAGGTACATCAGGTGGACTATCACATATTCTGATATTCAACAATCAAACTTGGATGTCAACACAGTACTTTAAGTTTAAACTGATAACAAGCAAAAACATTAGTGTAATAGCAACTACTTTTTTACAATCAATGATGCCAGATGGTCAGCAAAGTATAAAATATGATTTTATAATAGCTGCCACACGTCAATTACCATATGGATGATCAGAAGATAGAGAGATGACTATGGTGATGAAAGTTGAACTTGTGGTTAATATTCTTTATATTGATAGTTTTATTTTCGCTGATGGTTTTGATATTGTCCATATTTTTGTTACTGATTTGATCGATGAAAATTTAGCAAAAAGAGAAGCTAAAGCATTACGATACATTTATAGTGATCGCTTTGATATGTATATTGAAGATACTTTATGATATGAATATTCACTTGATGATCTTGTTAAATATCAAACATTCAAGTAACCCACTTGTTAAGTGGCTGGGAGGTAACAAGTCTTTCAAATGCTGAAACAGACTTTGCTATATCAAGAGTTGTAACTCAACATTACAATTAGGAAGGCATACATCTTGCGACCAGAAGTTTAGACATAAAGAACTCTGGAATTATAATTGATGCCTTCATTGCAAAAATCATGAAACGTGATAAGTTTATCTGGGTTAACAAGTACACGGGATGAAGAAACAATGTTAAACGTAAAATTTATAAGAAAGTAAAGCATCAAGTTTATGCTGATATTTCTTCTGGCATAAACTATAACATATTTATTAATTACACTAAGGATAATAACTTTGTAGGAATATATACTGAAATATTTAAAAAAGACAGAGGAGAGATGATCGATTCAGTTATAGAATTTAATAAAAGTTTTTAGTTTCTGGTAGTCTATAATTTAATCCTAATGGTTCTTTGATCAATCTTATATAAATATCAATAATTTATTTGAAAGAATTTTTAAAATAATTCCTCTTATGTATGTTTCTTATACAAAATGTTTGTATGATAATTTTTTATTTCACGGTTTCGCAGTTAGAGACTGCTTTGAGTTTTCATCACCTGATATTATATTTATTTCGTATATATATACAACACATATAGTATCACATGAAGTTTACTCTGACATTTTTTTTAACAGTATTTAATAATGATAATACAGTCAGTATTTAATAATGATAATACAGTAATAATTTAAAAATACCAAATGATTTTTGTACATCATGTAAATCAACTTTTTTGACCAATAAAATTTTAGTTTTAACTTATCACATGAAGTTATTCCGATTTATTGGGGAAGTGCAGTTTCAGAATAATATTTAGTGATAAATGACATCGATAGGGGGTTATCTTCTTGTGGATCTTTGATGAGATCAAAGTAGATAATAATTCGGGCAAGGAAATCGAATTCAACCGGATTACTAGTTACTAGAGTCATAGCTTCTTCTTTGGTTTTGTCATTTATTTGGTGATTATGGGCTGCAGCTGAATGGTATAGTGTTAAATATTTATAAAAGTAAGTACCACGTCATTTCTTACTAAATGTTA